TCTGAGGTGGAGTCTGAATATCACTACTGTTTGACCGACATGGGGAGCCATAGAAGGTGTGTGAGCAGGAAAGGGGCTGGATTGGCACTGTGATCTGTGCTCAGACTCTCACACTCCCACCCCTGACAGGCCCCCTTCTGGAGTTCCTATGGAGCTAGAGAGAGGATCCCAATCCTGGCTTCCAGCCCCGAGCCTCGACCACCTGCTCCAAAGCCCTACACAGGCCACACAGGGCAGGAGGCCAGGGCAGGGAGCCAGGAGATTCCCCCCACCATACCCGTTACCACACACACACACACACACACACACACACACGCGCGCGCGCGCGCGCGCACACACAGTCTCAAAATAATGAATTAATCAGTATTTACTTGCTACCAGTGAGTCATGGAGTGGAACAATTAGAGTAATTGCTCTGTGACTAATTGCTGGGTCTTCCTCCGTTTTAGACATTTCAGGAGCTCAGACAGCTACCATCCAACCTTCCCCAGCTCCCATCTCTGCTCCCACTTCCCAGAAGAACAAAGCCCCAGGACCTGAGGTGAGGGAGCTAGAAGATCCCACACCACCAGCCTCTACCACCTGGGCCAGCTAAGCTGGGGTCCCTTGGAGACTTTCTGCTCCATTCTCAGGCAAGTAGCCTGTAGCCAGAGACATGCAGCAGAATGGGGACTGAGCAGGGACGGGGCTCAGACTGCCTCTCCTGAGCAGGTCCATCTTCACTGTCTCTCCATCCTTCCAGACAGCCCAGGGAAGGTTAGAAGCCCCTTAGCTGGGAGGAGGGGTTCTAAGAAGTCTGTGGTGCCAGGGGAACCCCAAAGTGGGGTAAATGTGGGGGCCAAAACAGGGTGTCTTCATGATTCCACAGTGACCAGCACCACACACCAGCCCCTAACACCCTGCAAAGCCACACAGGCCCTTGAAATGACACACCCAGAGACAGAGAAAGAACACATACAGACACACCCTGACACATACTCACCTAAAGGCAGAGAGAGGCACCGCGTGTTGGCGTGCCTTTGGGTGCAAACAGGAACATGCATGGGGGCGGGCACTAGATGGGGGCACACACTGTGCAGCTCTGAGGCTCAGAGACAAGTATGGAACCTCCTGTGAACCCATCAGCCTCCACTCAGGTAGCTCTCACCTAGATACTATTCATCCCTAGCTCAGTAGCCATCGGCATGACAACCGTTACCATGACAACCATCTCCTCCATGCTAAGGACCAGGAGCTCCAGATCCCCACAGAGATGGGGGGGGCCCCCAGGAAAGGGAGAGATCATGGAAGAACAGAGAGGATGATGGGGGTGGGGGGACACACTGGATGGAGACAGAGATGCAAGGACAGAGGGAAGCCAGGGGGTCAGAGGGGTGGTGTGGGGGGACAGGGAGGAGGGAGTGGAGGGAGGACTGGGTGTGCGAGAGAAAGGGAAGGCAAGAGTGGGAGGCTGAGGGAGAGAATTCTCTCACATCTTAATTTAGCCTCACGCTCATCAGACAAAGCTGGGGAAGGGGCCACCTCAGTGATTTTCCAAACCTACATCCAAGAGAACATTCTTTCCAAATAATAAGCAGCCCCAGATGGGGCAGAAGGGGTGATGGCCAACAACAACCCAGTCACCCCTGAGCTCACCCTGGGAAACTTAACACCGGGACACCTGAGACCTGGGGGATGGGGGTGGGGTGCATGACGCCGTCTTGCCCAGCCCCCTCCCCAAGTCTACTAAGTGCCAGCTGTACCCCTCCCTGGGGGACCAGGGCTCACGGGGCCCTCCCAGGAACACTACAGGGGTGCTGGAAGCTGCAGCTACCAGGGCTACAGGGAAGAGGGGAGAGGGGAGAGGGGAGACGGGAGAGGGGAGAGGGGAGAGAGGAGGAAGGAGAGAGGAGAGAGATGGGGGGTGGAGAACCGAGCCTGGGAGGCAGCAGGGAAAGCCTCAGAAGTCACAAATGCCAGAGGAGGAAGGTGAAAACAGCCTTTGACACCCAAACGACCTCTCTATTTGCATAATTCCATGCATAATTAGCATAATTATCCACGCCATTCCCTTAAAGGAGAACTGAACACAAATGCTGGCCTCCCCCTGACCCTCAACTGTGCCCCCTCCAGGTAAACCACACACCCTCCCATGCCTGATAAGCACATCTGCACACCCAACCCAAGTGTGCGCACGCACACGCGCACATACACCAGCACAGACGCATACACAGTCATGATCCACATTTACTGACCCTAACCTGTGTACCCACCACAACTCACAGACAGCAGCCTGGCACATACCACCGTGGGCTCACCCGTTTACCGCCTCTCTAGATGAACACACACACAGCTGCACCCTTCTCCTCACCTAACACACCCCACACAACGTCCGTGGGTTGTGGCACACACCAACCCTCCCCACGTCCAAGCATGCCCCCTGAGTCACATATCACTGCCCACATTCCCCATGGCAGCGACACCCTCGGACTCTGACAAAAGCCTCACGACCTGTAAACAATCTTTTCTCACCCTCACATCCCCACACGCCCCACACAGCCCACTGTGGAGGCCCCTGCACCTTCTGCTTTCTGCCACCACCAGTCCCGGCCGCGACACCCAGCCGGAGGCTCCCCCAGCAGTGGGTGAAGGTCTGAGCTCCCCCGGGGAGCTACTGAGGGTCCTCAGGGGGTTCCAGAGGCCCTGTCCCAGGTCAGGCGCTGGAAGAACTCTACCTGCGCCACCGCCTTCAACCATCACAGCCTCCCAGGATTTTATTATCCCCACTTCACAGATGCAGGCACTGAGGCTGGGGTTTAGAGCCGAGACATGAGCACGGGTCCTTAGCCCCTGGAACCCTTGCCCCGAACACTCCAGGGTAGCCCCCAATCTGCTGCTCATCTGGGGTTCCTACACCTGTGACCCACAGCCCCTGGACAACCTCAGCTCAAAACTACCACGCCTCCACCCTCGCACACCATACACACGCCCGCACACCATACACACGCCCGCACACGGCAAACACCCCAAATGCTCCCAAATACCCACTCCTGCTCCCCACATGCTCCACTCATGCGTCCCTGAAAAAGCACCCACTGCACCATACATATACCCCATCTCAGGCACCCACCGACAGGCCCCTAAGACCTGCATCCCACACCCCTCCACACATGCACACCATGTACACACACCATGCACACTTTCCCTCTGGGGTATGTACAAGCACACCTACAATGCCGGGGTGAGACATGGCACCTTTCCCAATGGACTGGCACACCCCCTGCCATTTTTCCTCACTGCCCCCTTGCCACCATCCTACCTTGAGCTGACCCACAGCCTTGACCCAAAGAAGTAACCTCAGGCTCTCTGACCTGATGGGACCAGCAGTGACCAGAGGTGCCTGTCACTCACCCGCCCCCACCCCTACCTGATCCTCTCCATAGTTTTAGAACTGCTGGGATGGACGGGTAACTTCCACTGCCATCCCTCTCCAGTGGGGTTGGGTCCGGGGGACATGTTCAGGTAGAAAGGCAGGGCATCTCCCTCCTCCATC